AACCGCCAGCCTTCTGGTTAGCAGTCAAGTGCCTTAGGCACTATGCTACCAGAGCTCCTCCCTTTTGTGGAGAGGCTCAAAATTTCCCCTTCATTTTCCAAGAACCCTTGGAATTTAAATATTCCTTACAGGATGATAAACTTTACATAAACAACTAAGTGGAACAGCTAGAGTTCAATTAGTCTAATTTTAATTTTCTTTCTAATCTATCCAAGACAAAATATACTGGTCACATGCTAATTCAGTTGCTAAATGTATGTTCCAAGGATAGACATAATACATCTAGTGCTCACTTATCAACTATCTTGTTATCTGATATTTTGCATTTATGACAATAGTAAAAAATCTAGTATCTGACTTTTTTGTTCATTAACAGTGTACATCAGTAGTAACAAATGCCAAGGTGTAAGGTGAGAGTAACACTGGCTATGATGGTTAAAGTTATGCAGTCAGCTGGCTGGACCATGATTCTCAGTGGTTTGGTGTTACATAATGATGCAATTTGGCAGTTATGTAATGATGCAATATGGCAATTCTGTGATGATGAGATTTGACAGTTATGTGATGATATATGTAATTAGGCAGTAGTGTGATGATATAAGTTGGCATATGTAATGACATGATTTGTTGCTTATATAATGATGTAATGTAGAAGTTTTCACAATCATGTAATTTGACAGTTATGCAATGATGTGATTTGGCAGTTATGCAATGATGTGATTGGCAGTTATGTGATAATGTAATTTGGCAATTATGTGAGGGTGTAGCCATCCTCCATTTTTTTGCAAAATGCCAATTTCTTGTAACAATCTGGTCTTTGGAACCTAATCATGTCATGAAGTGAGGAAGTGGGTATAATATCTCCCATCCCACACGAAATCTATATCCCTTCCTCTTGAAACTGAGCAAGCCTTACCTAGACCAATACAATGTGGTAAGAGTGATGCTATTTGACTTCAAGGCTGGTCATATGGTGTGAAACAGTTTCTGCCTGGCTATCTCTCTTGAAACCTGCTCTTGGAACACAGAACACCATTCTGTGAGGAAACCAAATCACAAGGAGAAGCTGTGTGTTGTTATTTCAGCCAATAGTCAGTATCAACCAACCAGCATGTGAGGAAGCAAGCCTCACGACCACAGCTACATGATTGACCCTATGTGAGAACTGCTTAATGAAGACTCCCCAGAACTATGAGAAACAATAATAAATTGTTATTAGGTTATGCCACTAAGTTCAGGGTGGCATCAAGCAGTTTTATTTTGTTATGTTGTTGTTGTTGTTATGTGCCATTGAGTCAGACCCGACTCATAGCGACCCCTCCTTGGGTTTCCGAGGCAGTATCACTACGGAAGTAGATTGCCCCATCTTCCTTCCGAGGATTGGCTGGTGGGTTTGAACTGCCAGCCTTCTGGTTAGCAGTCAAGTGCCTTAGGCACTACACTACCAGAGCTCCCCCTGTAAAGATTACAGCCCAGGAAATCCTGTGGGAGGTTCTATCACATGGGGTCGCTGTTAGTCAAAAGCTACTCAAGGGAACTTAACAAAAATGATAACCTCTGTGGACTGGAGCACGAGAACCAGTGTTGTGATAACTCCAGACTGGGCTTATGCAACCCAGTTTGTTTAACTATTTGCCTACTGGTTCCTTAGGATATAATCTTTGTTCAAGTTTGTTACATACCAATAATGGCTTCATGTCCTTCCAGAAAAGTCTGTGTTATCTTTTGAATTTTGAGCTCCCATTTCTGAATCCCACAGGACAAAAGCTATAGTTAGATTTGACTGTTTAAGTTCCAGAAGGAAAAAATAAAACAGCTTCTAACATTGAGCAGAGTTCCTGACTACAATAGAGCTGTGCAAATTTCCTGGAATCTGAGACAGTAGCTCTCAGCTAGAGCTCACTCGGGCTTTGTAACCATGGTTTTCCACAGTGCGACTGCATAAAAATAGAACATTTATTTAAAAAATATAACTTGACAAATAAGCCACTGCTGTTTCTACTTGCGGTGAAAACTACCCCAGGACTCCCAGAGTACAAGCCCATGTAATCTGGTAAATGAGCCCCACACATAATGAGGCTTGATAAGGTCTCCCTGTGCTGACTGGCTGCTTCCTCCTAGCCCCAGGGTGACTCCCCAGGGTGACTTCTCAAGGTTGCTTAGGGATTGGCAGCCAGGCACCACAGAGCTAGTCCTTGGAGAATCTTTTTCAGACATCAAAGTCTCCTCCTCCAGCTAGAGGGAATATGTAGTGTCCAAAGAGCCCTTTGTAACTTTCTTCTTTTGCCAGCCCCAGACTGGACCAAAACCAGATGCCTTCTCATTCTGACCTTCACTTGTAAATACATGCAACTCATGGGCTACATTTCTGACTTCTATCCGCATTTCTCTATTGTGGCAAAGACTTGCAGAGGTAGAAGTAAGTGAGATTTGGAAAAAGACTTCAATGATTAGGGTAAAGAGCCAGATGATGGATTAGACGCAGTCCCCTACATGATATAAGCAGGCATAGTCAGCACTTAACTACTCACCTAAAGGTGGGTGGGCTTTTCGAACAAACCCAGCAATGCCATGAAAGAAAGGGCTGGCATTCTGCTTCCATAAAGATCACAGCCTAGAACACCCTATGGAAGAGTTCTACTCTGTAACACGCGAGGTAGCTATGATTCAATCAACTTGACAGCAATAGGTTTGGTCTGGTCTTCATGGGTTTTGTTGTTGCTAAAGGGTCAAATAACATCAAGATAGAAAAGTTCCTGTTGTCTAAGTATACATATTTTTTTCTTTTCCTTAATTTACTATTTTCAAAGCTCTGCTGCTAATCCTAGAGAATCATGACTTCCCAATATTAAAGAATATCTTGACTAATATAATAATAAAGAATGGGGCTCTGCCACTTACCAGCTATGCTCCCTTGTCCATATTCTTGGGAGACACTGTTGATAAAACCTCATGGAGCATATTTACAATACTTAGCAGGTTAAACACATCAGGGTCAAACTTCCCCTGTCAAAAAATAGTCCCTGATGTTTAACATAAAATTTATTTCTTGCAACTACATCCCATTTCCTTTCATAGCATGCTCTGGGGAGTTGAAGCACAACTGTGCATCAATCCCTTGTATATACCTTTTGTATATTTCCTTTATGGAAAATGGTATATTTCTGAAAACTGGATAGATTACATTTTAAAAGCACTAAGGAGCTTACCTTTGAAATGTCCCTAATAGTAAATCATCATGTAATGTGATTAATTTGCTTTACTTCCAGAAAAATGCAGTTTTTATGCCAATCCATCTATTACTGAATCTATTCTATTAATGAATTTATTTTTTACAACTGATCCATTACAAATGATTATATGTTGCTAAGTAATAGGGCAAAGGCTACAAGCAAAGTTGCATTACCAGTATATTTTCTAATTAGATGTTAATGGTATCATGTTTATTTGAGTGTTATAATATTCTAAATTCAACATTAAAATGTGGCCCAGTTCTTTAGTTGTTTGTTATTGTCAAAGGCATGGGCAGCAAGGAAAAGTAGATAGAGAAACCAGAAGGTTGGTGGTTCAAACCCATCAGTCACTCCTCGGAAGGAAGATTGGGCAATCTACTTCCATAGAAATGTTGTTGTTGTTGTTGTTATGTGCCATCGACTATCTTGGAAACCCAAGGAGGGGTCGCTATGAGTCAGATATAACTTAACAGCAGTGTTTTTTTTTTTTTTTAAAGATCAATGAAACTTCACTGCAGTACTTCAGCAATCTGCTTCCTTAAAAGTAATATGGTGGTCACATTGGGGGTCGAAAACAGTGAGAGTATGTGGCCCTTGTCCCCAAAGAGTGTACAATCTAGCTGTGGTAGACCCAGTTCTAAAATGCAGTTCTGTGTAGAGGGAGAAACAATAGATGTGGGATCAGAAGACCGGGTTCAAGTCTTGATTTTGTCCTTCAATACCTGTGTGTCATGGATAGTTCCATAAACAGCTGAGCCTCAGCTTCTATTTCTAAAGAGAAGTAGTAATCTTGGTCCTCCCTGTTCAATTGGATGATGATGAAGTGAAGTATATGAAGATACTTTATAATCACAAGTGCACTATTAAGTTTCTTTCCAGTAAGCAGGTCTAAGCTACCAATATGTATGAGAACATTAAGGTCTGAGTGAGAACGAGAGAAAAGAGAAAAATATTCTGCAGAGAATGTGTGCTTTGTGTGGCTTTAAAGAATGAGTGGTATATTGGTACAAAAGGTATAGAACAGGTGTTGATATAGGCAGTGTCCTCACAGAGGACTGGAAAGGGAAAGTCAAAGTAAGAAGAGCTCCATCCAAACCCCAGCAGCTCGGGAAATGGTAGTCAGCTACAGAATCTGGAATTCTGCATGACAACACTGAAACAGAATGTACTAAATAATTTTTAGTCTAATCTAATACTTGACAGTTTTAATTTTTCTACCAACAATTCTATGATGCCGTTATCATTATTGTATCTATTTTAAGTGGAGAAAACTAGTCTTAGAACTGTTAATTCCTTACCCAAGATAAATTAGTGCATGATAGAACTAGGATAGGCTTTCACAGCACTTAACTCTGAAAGTCATGTGCTTTCTTTTTGGTGAAAAAAGAAAGTTTGTCCACTCTGCACTGCCATGTGATATGAATGTGAATAAAAATAAGCAAAGACCTGAGGTAGATTAACCACAAGGATTTTCCCAACCTAATACTGATAGGAGCCCCTGGATGGTAGAAACAGTTAATGTACATGGTTACTAACGTAAAGGTTGGAGGTTAGAGTCCATCCAGAGTGCCTTGGAAGAAAGGCCTGGTGATCTACACCCAAAAGATCAATCATTGGCAACCCTATAGAACACATTTCTACTCTAGCACACATGGGTTGGAATTGACTTAACAGAGACTGATTTAATTTTATTTTTTTATTCAAGAGAGCTCACTCAATCAGGATTCTTACCTTTTTTTCCCATTCTTAGATCCCAAATATAATTTAATGAAGACAGAGAACCAAACTATGGTGAGTGAGTTTATTTTCCAAGGTTTCTCCAGCTTCCATGAGCACCAGCTCACTCTCTTTTTTGTATTCCTTACACTCTACATATTAACCCTGGGAGGCAATGTAATCATTGTGATCATCATAACCCTTGATCGTCACCTCCACACCCCCATGTACTTCTTCCTCAGTATGTTGTCAGCTTCAGAAACCATGTACACACTGGTCATTATACCAAGGATGCTTTTCGACCTTATAGTCCTGAGTCAATCCATTTCCTTAGCAAGTTGTGCCACTCAGATGTTCTTCTTTGTCACTTTGGCCATCAACAACTGCTTCCTTCTCACAGCTATGGGATATGACAGCTATGTGGCTATTTGCAACCCCTTGAGGTATTCTGTAATCATGAACAAGAGGGTGTGCATCCAGCTGGTGTGGGGGTCCTGCAGCATTGGCTTACTAGTAGCAATGACACAGGTGTTGTCTGTGTTCAGGCTGCCCTTCTGTACCACAAAGGTAGCCCATCTCTTCTGTGACATCTGACCTGTAATGAAGCTCTCCTGCATTGACATCACCACCAACGAGATCCTAACTTTAATCATCAGTGTCCTGGTGATTCTGGTTCCCATGGGTTTGGTTTTCATCTCCTACTTCCTCATCATCTCTACCATCCTCAAGACTGCCTCAGCTGAGGGCAGGAAAAAGGCTTTTGCCACCTGTGCTTCTCATATCACTGTGGTTATTGTCCACTATGGCTGTGCTTCCATTGCCTACCTCAAGCCAAAGTCAGAGAATGGCAGAGATCAGGATCAGTTGATTTCAGTTACCTACACTGTAATCACCCCTCTGCTGAACCCTGTGGTGTACACTCTGAGGAACAAAGAGGTCAAGGATGCTCTTTGCAGGGCTATTGGCAGAAAACTCTCCTGACAGCATAAGCCTATTCTCATAAGGACCTTAGAAGACCATCTAGACAAGAAAACATGGAGCAGTGCCACAATTACTGTGAGTAAAAATTCTAGAGTCCTTTAAGCAGTGGTTTCTGAGAAGAAATAACTAAGGGACCACAAATTCAGCTATTAGACAAAGGGAAAAGGTTCTCCAAAGCACAATCCTGAATTTCACAAGAGAACAGGGATGACATGGAAGAACAAACATAAGAGAAATAACTCAGTAGTGTTGGGAAGTTGATGGGCTATCTGGAACAGAACTACAATAGAATTGTTGTTGTTGTTGTTGTTATGTGCAGTGGAGCCAGACCCAACTCATAGCAACCCCTCTTTGGGTTTCTGAGGTGGTATCACTATGGAAGTAGATTGCCCAAACTTCCTTCCAAGGAGTGGCTGGTGGGTTTGAACCGCCAGCCTTCTGCTTAGCAGTCAAGTGCCTTAGGCACTGTGCTACCAGAATAGTACACAGAATTAATGAAGGGATATTGCTCCAGGACAGGCTAAAGCTTTAAAATGTACTCTGTAACACTCTTATTTGGACATGGGTTTTCCTCTTACTCATTTAGAGATATATAGGCTTAATAACTAACTGTTCCTTTATGGACAGTTCAAGCTCCTTTGTATCTTAGATAACATAATGAAAATGAATATCAGGAACAATAAACCCATTGCCATCAAGTCTATTCTGACTTATAGAAGAACAGAGTAGAACTATGCCATAAACTTTCCAAGGCCGTAATCCTTATGGAAGTAGACTGCCATGTCTTTCTCCCACAGAGTGACTGGTGGACTTGAACCACTCACGTTTTGATTAGCAGCTGAGCTGCTTAAACCACTGCACCACCAGGGCCCCTTTAAACATCTTTTTCATGTTAAGTTCCAGGAAACAGGAGACCTAAGTTTTCAGGATCATGTAAGAGTATTATTTTTAGAAAGTGATTCAAGTACCTTGGAGATCTAGTGGAAGAAAGAGGTGACACCAAGCAATTCACATTGGCATTTTATAATGAGACTATACAAAGGTTGTTGGTGATCTTCTACATGAGTGTTGTGAATTCGGGAAAAAGAATTTGGGATCACCTTTGGAGATGCTTAAAAAATGGATAGAAGCAACTAGTGGATGGAAATAAAAGAGCAGGGTTGGTGGGAAGAGAATTGGGAGGATTTGGGGGGATAAGAAAGTTTCATGTCTGTGTCCAGCCCTTCTCTTTCCTACAGTTTGTCCTCCAGCTCCACAGAGCCTACATACAATCTAACAATTTCTGGTGACTTGCCCTTTCCCATTGTACCTTTCACTCTTGTGCACTTCTGTAGCCTTTCTCACTTAATGGAAATCACTTATGGCCACACTTACTTCTCACTTAGCCTGGATGTTCTCTTACTCTTTTGAAACAATCAACTGAAGCATCTCCCTGTGAATCCTTTAATGAGACAATCACTGTCTCTGCTCCCTCACTGCCCAACCTCCAAACTTCTTACATTCCTCTATTATTGCAGAGGACATTTCCATGATACCTGTATGAGTGAAAGCACAAAATGGGCAGTGAGTGATGTTATAACCAGGTGACATCTTAGCTGGGTGCACAGTTTTGCATATCAGTTAATATTTCACATGTACCAAGTGAAGTGTATTCAGATTACGTTCTCCTTTATGTTAATTTCTAAAGTAAAGACTATGTCGAAATATCTTAACTTCTTGAATAATCTATTATGCTTCAGTCACACATAAACTCAACTACATGTTTTTTTTGGAAATTTATGATGAAATCAAAGATAACCCAAAATGAAGGCACGATGTGTTTGTCAGTGGTCATTTCCACTTTTATGCAGGAAATAAAAATAGCTATTTTTATTTTAGGCTGTAGCCTTGAAAATGCTGCCTTGTCCCTTCAATCTTCTCTATAATGGATAAATCATATCTTGAAATTTAGTCAGCTACTTAAAATGTTAGGTAGTAGTTTTAGAGATCAGCAAAGTGAAATGGGAAGAATATGAGCTTTAGAAGACAAAGATTCCATATTGAGTCCTGACTACTTCAACCATCATATAGACTTTAATGCATTATTTAATCTCTCTGAATCTTGTTTTCCTCACTTATAAAATTTATATCCAGGTGTTCCTATGATAAACACACAATATAATGAGTGTGAAAGTTCTCTGCAAATCACAAAACAAAGATAAATATTCTTTACTTTTATTAGACTAAGAAAATAGCTACAATCCCCATAAAGTTCTACTAATTGTACATGATAAACACAGGGAGTTCAATCTCATCCATTTGAGGAGCAACTGTCTCAGAGATTTCTGTTTCTGGTTTTCTCCCCACCCCACTGCTCCCCTCATTATCCATATTTATGCCCCTAATTCAAGGTACAGTCTCTTTTCTCAGACGCCTTTGAGAACAAAGAAGGGAAGTTTGCTTCTGGATGATTCTCCAGAAACATCTCAGTCATAAGCCTGAAACAGTGGGCTCACCATTAACAGAAATTGATTATTTTCCTTGGTTTTCTGGACACATGGTCACCAGCCTTCTCTTTTGTTGGGAAGAGCACAAAATCATGAATAGATTTGAATATAAGACACTCTTCTGTTCCTTACCACCTGAACATCTGTAAGCAAGTATTTAAATATTTTCTCATTGGTAAAATGGGGTTACCAATTTCTGCTCATCAGCCCTGTTTTTCCGTAAGAATCAAAAATCCAGATTAGAATAAATACAATAGCTATTGCTGTGATAACTACAGAAGGCATTAGTGAATGTAATATATCATCATCATCATCATTATTATTAGTTAACTCAATCCCTATGTTCTTACCTCTCTAATGACCCTGGCTATTTTAAATTATTTTACAAATTAATGTTTAACTCCTAATTTCCTCCCACATACTCTTAAATTCGGATTGTTACTGCAAATTTTGCACTTACTTGCAGTCCCTTACAAAAGAATTCTCTCTGAAATTTCCATCATTATCTTTGTTACAATACCAGCAGTTTATGCTTATCCTCCTGCTCCACATCAAGCAGCTCATTCCCTCTAGTTCAGTGGCTTTTGGCCTGTTTTCACTATGATCCATAATCTCCAATAAGAAATGCATATTATAACAATACCTGGTTGTATACATACAAACATATACACAAACTGAAAGAAAACATTCATAAAAAAATACTTAGTCTTGTTGAAAGTAGTAGTTTCTGATGTTTTTCATTCTGATATATTGTATTCTGTTCTATTTTGCTGCATTAAATTATGTCAATATTTAGAGGTGCGTTGAACTCACATTTTGACCAAATAAATGATCAATGGTTGAGTAGAATCCATATTTAACTGAAGTCAATGCTGACATTCATTATCTCCAGCTTATATTGCTGAGAAATTGAAACAAAATTAAAATTGTATTAAAAACTTAATTATATTGGAATTTAACTATTAAACATTTGATAATCAGATTTAAGCAATTGACATGTCAAGGGATGAACATTTAATAAAACATATATTTGGTATACCAAGTAGATGCTCATTTATCAACTGAGAAACTGAGATTGGTGGAGAAGCAATTTCTTTGAGAAATGTCTCCTTTTGCTCTAGCACTTCTTTCTCTTCATATTCTTTATTAGATCTAGATTAAAATAATTTATCCTAGGTATTGTGATATACAGGAGCTCTGGTGGTGTCAAGAGCCTCAGGCATTTGACCGCTAACTAGAAGGCTGTAGGTTCAAACCCACCAGCCACTCCTTGGAAGGATATCTATCTATCTATCTATCTATCTATCTATCTATCTAATTTTTGTGGGAAAACTGAAATCCTGCTATAAATCTACACACAAAACTTGGGAAGATTTATGGTTTAAATGACATCGAGAAGCTAAAAATCAATATAGTGCTTGAAAGTTATTTTAATATTATAAATACAGAACAGCAAATAGCTTTGTTGTTGTTGTTGTTATTTGTCGTCGAGTCGGCCCCAACTCATAGTGACCCCTCCTTGGGTTTCCGAGGCAGTATCACTATGGAAGTAGGATTGCCCAACCTTCCTTTTGAGGAGTGGCTGGTGGGTTTGAACTACCAGCAGCAAATAGCTTTAGAAGATTAGAATTCTAATATCTAATTTCATTATTCCACTTAGTATACTTAAATGTATAGGAATATTCATTAGCTTAGCAAAGATGTAATGCTCTTTTTTAAAACTATTTCACCAACACACTATGCCTTAATCTTAAATTTATATGAATATTAATCTATTTCCCTACTTATTGAAATATTTAAAACTCTTATATTCACACAGAAAATAAATACTTCTCATAATTATAAATTATTTTTGCATTTTACTCTTATAAATATATTTGTATACCTCAATTGACTAAGAGAATTTCGACATATAAAGCAAATAAACTTACTTCAGTCCAATTTCCACTAGAATGCTTAAGCATACTTGGAAATGAATACAAGTATTCTTTTTTTAAAGTCCAGTGCCTTGCCTTATTCAGATTACTGGTATTATTCCTTTTGCCCCCAAAGAAGTGCAAGACTTGTATACTGAAAACTATAAAACTTTTTTGGAAGAATTAAAGAAAATCAAAAAAATAAAAACATATCTTATGTTTATAGACTAGAAGTCCTAATGTGACAATACTCCCCAAATTCATCTATGGACTCAATATAATCCCTACCAGAAGCCCAGCTGCTTTTTGCAGAAATTGGCAAACTGATACTAAATTTTCCATAGCAATTTTGAAAAAGAGGAACAAAGTTGGAAGATTCACATGTTCTAATTTCAAAACTTAACTGCACAGTTACAGCATCAAGATAATGTGGTACTGCCATGAGGTCAGACACATAGTTCCATTGATATATATTAATATATATGATCAATTTTGTGAATATACAGTGATATATCTCAATAGAATTGAGAATCCAGAAATAAACCCTTTACAAATATGGTCAATTGCTTTGCTACAAAATTTTCAAGACAATTCTCTG